ATCATTGCCCAGCACTAATAAATATACAGTATATCTCATGAGTGATGTGTGTGTTCCAGATGAGTGTGAGGAGGTGGAGCAGCAGGTCCAAAAGGTGGTTCAGGAGATGGAGAACATCCTGGGAGAACCTCTGCAGAGCTACTTCTAACGCACACTTCTGATCTGAACTTCGTATTTTTTTTGTTTTCCAGAAAGTTAATGTTTTCATATAAAGTTTTTCTCAATTGTTGTGCAAATCAAACTAAACATTTACATAAACAATTCTTATTTAACAGTCGATTCATGTTTTCAGACAAAACAAACACTCTAATGTTCCACTAATGTTTTTATTGTCATAAATAATCCAGAGCTCTGAACAGTGAGATCATCGTCGCTCCTCCAGCTGAACCTCTGATGATAACTTTAATGTTTCATATCTGAATTAATTGACTTCATGTCAGAACAGTACTTTAATAACATCTCATCCTGTAGACGATCACTCTACTCTCCTCTGTAGACGACGATGTTCTTGTCCGTCTCGTGTATTTTGATCTCGTGCAGAAGGTTTGGAGGTAGAACCTTCACCATGTGGTCCCAGATGTAGACGGAGACGTTTTCTGTGGTGCTGAGACAAAACTTTATTAACTACTGTTAACAGAGACGCAACTTTATTAGTTGATGAGGAGACAGAGGAAACTCACCTGACAACGTTGGAGAAGTACGGGACGTCCTGATCCAGGTTCTTATGGTCCAGTGGGGTCATGATGACGTCCTGCAGGACGGAGACATTACATCAGCCAATAGAAACACTCAGCAGCTCTGTGTGCCGTCTAATGATGAAGATGATCGCACCTCGATGCATCTCTTCAGGTCGGTGAGGTTCATGACCATCCCAGTGAGCCGGTCGATCTGAGGAGCAAACAACGCCTTCGAGTTATGTCTTTATTTAGCAAATATATTTAAATCATAGAATAAATACAGAAGTTACAGAATAAATCTAAAAACAAAGTTAAAGAGAAATGATGGACTATGTAAACTCTACTCCAGATTAAAAGGACAGCTAGCTGGGGTTAGCATCTGAAGCTACATCAGCTGATGTGAAGACAGCTAGCAGCTGATCGATCAGCTGCTAGCTGTCTTCAGATCAGCTGATTCCTTCTATGGCAATTGTCAGATCTCATACAGGTCTACTCATTAAAGCTGCTTCGGCCTTCCTCCACCCAGCTCTTCATCATCCTGTGTGACTTCTTCAGCAGTAGATATATCTACCATTTAGTTTATTTATAAATACATATATACATACACACACACACACACACACACACACACAAATATATACACATCTATACATAGATATATAAACACACACATCTATATGTGTGTGTTTACATACTCACCTTTCCACGCACTGTGACCTCCACTGTGGACAGAAAGAGGACATGAGTGATTGAATGAGTGATTGAGTCAATGAGTCACTTCCTGTCCCGGGTCACATGACCGAGTGAGTCACACCTTTGTAGTTGTGTCCGTGTCCGTTAGGGTTGTCGCATTTCCCGTAGACTCGTTTATTCTCCTCATCACTCAGGTGAACGCTGCAGAGAAGAAGAAGCATCATCATGAAGTGTGTGTGTGTGTGTGTGTCGTGCTGCCTTCAGGTGCAGCTGGGACACTCAAGTCTCAGAGTTCATAGGTTGTGAAGAGGTTCAGACCATCAGAGCTGCTGCTGTAGAACGAGAGGGTTTCGAAAGGGGCTCTGGTGGAACACTACCACTGTGGTCCACAGGGGGCGACAGCATCAACACGGAGTGAAAGTTCCTCATCGTTACTTTAATAAAATGAATAAAGTAATAAAACAGGAATATAACCTCTTTCTATTTTATACAAAACTATTAAAGTTTACCAACAGAAGAATACAACTGAATATATGAAAAGATGTTTGTTAGTATGGACCATAAATCAACAATTATAAACTCTTATTAACTTAACTATCGTCTTATGTTTACCATTTAAGATCTGTCTGTAGAGGAAAATACATTCTACAATAAATAAATACAATAAAGGAATTCTATGGGCAGAACTTTCTCTTTTACTACACTTTAGACGGTCCCTGAAGGCAGCACCAGCGGTGTCTCTGGAGATCAAAGCTCCGGACTGAACGAGCCTCAAAGAGCTCCGTAGACCGGATACACCCGGAGGATCCACGCCGGGGACCAGCGCTCTCCGTCCGGCCTCCTACCGGTCCCTCTCTCTACCTGTAACGGTACTCACGGTCCTACCGGACTCTCTTCGTACCTGTGTAGCCGGTGACACGCGCTGAAGCTCTGGACCCGCGTGATGTATCCAACCCGCTCCTCAGAAGACCCGGACATGTTCGGAACCGGATCCAAAGACGAGAACCAGAGATGTGAGATCTAAAGGTCTGCACCTAAAACAATATTGAAGAAAAACCTACAGACCACGTGACTCCCGCTGGCTGCAGCTCATTGGTCCACCAGGACTCACGTGGTCCAGATCCATATCACACCGGATTAACTGATTATATTTACTTCATCATAAAGTCACATGATCAGAAACATGAGACTCTGATCCTCTTTAATGGGTTCATATTATATATACATATATTATATATATATATATTTATATAGTATATGTATATATATATATATATATGTCTTTATGAATGAAACGTTGATGTAGAACTATATGAAACATATTTAATTAGTTTGTGTGTAAAATGTGAATCTGTAATTAAAGTACTTCAGTACAAGTACTTCCAGAGGCTGCTCTGATTGGTGACAGTATGAACAATAAAGATAAAGATATTACAGACGGCTCGTTGTTCATCATGAGGTCATGTTGTTACGGTCACGTGACCACCAGACTGAGGAGGATCATTATTAGTATTATTTGTTGCTAGCGAGTCCGTTTATTAAAATAATAAATAAAAACAAGAACACACTCATTAAAGTCAACATGAGGATGAAATAATCTCTTTTATTATAAAACTGAGTTTTATAATATCTAAGATCTCCGATGAGTAAATATGAATTATTAGGTCTGTTAATGGAAGGCCTCAATTCAATATCAGTTATTAATGGTTAAAGTACATCATCTAGAAACACATTCAACATATTAAAACATAAAAAGACAAATAAATAAATACAATAATAATAATAATAATAAATAGAGATAATCTCCTCCCTGTTTATTCCCAATACGACTTCAGACTCCCACAGCAATGTTTTGTCAACTATTTATTTTCATATTTGTCTTACTGTTTCACGATAAATACATTGTTTAAAAAAACAGTCTCATAAACTAAAAGACAACAACCAGAATGAATGATAGAGGGAGGAGAACTATCTCACTCTGTATCTATCATCTTTGACAGATGTCGTTTACTCATCCCGCCACACGGGGGCGCTGAATCCCGCCGTCTATAAAGCTGTAATTAAATCACGGAGACACCTGCTGCTACAAACACTCCGTTAGGCTCGTTGTTACTATGTCAGTCGACTTTCAGAAGATGTTTCTCTTCTAGAAGAACCGCTGAGAGTAACGTGTCTACGTTTGTGTCGCTTTGTCGCTGCTAACCGGCGTTTTTTAACGGTAAAAACGGACCGGAAGCTGTCGTTTCTATCTTAAATAGTAGCGTTTCCTGCATAGCCAGTAGCATCTAGCTGTGAAAAAGTCGCCATCTTGTTTGGAAGCTCTGCTGAAGGTAAGTTAATTATATCTCGAGAGCTAAAGCTAACGTTAGCAGGTCCACCATTCGTTTTTCGCGGGGCCCCGCCCATCACGGAGTGTGATTGGTCCACTGAGACGTCATCTTTCCGAGCTCCGTGCTGATTGGCTGGAGGTCGACGGGACCTTTTAAACTGTAGTTGAATGACTGAACACGCACGTGGGTGAGATTTATGTATTTTATTTGTTTAACACATCCGGTCATAACTAAACAATTATGAATAATCAGAAACATCCTCACGAGGAGGGTAAAACAGGAGATCTAGTACAAGACACAAGTTTACTAAATTACAAATACTTAAGTACAATATCGAGGTATTTGAACTTCTATTCTACTTCTTAAAAGGAAAATAAAGTACTTTTACTGCACTTTATTTGTCTGACAGCAGCAGAGTGAGTTAACATTCAACACATTATAATATATGTATGTATATAGTGAGGTACTTTCAGGTGATGCAGAACTAACCACCCACCCAATTTAGAATATTTTCTTGAGTTAATTGATTTCCGGCCCAGAAAAGAGAGACCCCCCCCCCCCCCCCTTCATAATAAAAGCAGCAATAACTCTGGAATCAAGGACTGAATTCTATAATAATTCACAATATTTTCTGGTTCCAGCGTCTAACAATGTGAGAATGTTTATTTTTATTCTGTTGTAAACTGAATGTTTTTGTGCTCTAATTAGTTTTATCAGATTCTTTATTTTTGTTTTTATTAAAGTGCAAAAAAAAAACTGAAGCAGAAAATGAATTTTAAGAAAATAAAACTCCAAATGAATATAACCTAATATTTCATTAAAGACCCAACGATGAACTGATATCAAACACGATCAATAATAATCAGACCAATGAAGCTCTGCAGGACGTCTCTGATTGGCTGAAGGAATGAGGGCTTCTGGGTAATCAGAGATTTCTGCTCCTCTTCCTCCACCTGTTTGATCTTTGTTCTCCTCCAGCAGACACAAACAGGATGTGGTCAGGTGTGTGTGTGTGTGTGTGTGTGTGTGTGTGTGTGTGTGTGTGTGTGTGTGTGTGTGTGTGGGGGGGAA